TTCTCCATAATCTTTGCATTTACGTCCACAGTTTTGTTTTTTCAAAGAATCAACATTAGCATAAGATTCTCCTTGACAATTATTTTCGGAAGCACGTTTCCAAATTCTTGATATGGTCATTCTGTTGCACTTAAATTGTTTTGCAGCTAACGTAATTGCACCTTTCTGCAACTTTTCCTTTATCTTTTGATGCATCAAAAACTGGACAATCGCAACTTGATCTTTGCTTGAAAACACTCTTTTTTTCATCTTATTTTTACAATGGGTTGATATTCAACTGAAATAAAACAATTGATTTCGATCAGCGGATGAAATTAGAAAAATAGTTATAATTCGTAATAATTAGATTAACCTAAACATTGAAAGATGTGTCAAAACAAATGACAGATGTCATGAAACATTGATTTTGATTGAAGGCTTCGCAATTTTGTGCTACAACATAACTTATAGCTGCATTCACCAATAATTCCCGTTTAAATATTCACTTGCTACTATTATTATGGGACAGAGGGAGTATATATTTTGATTGATTTCAGAGAGGAAGGGAGAGGGAGAGAGAAATAGAAACATCAATGATGAGAGAGAATAATTGATTGGCTGCCTTCCTCATGCCCCCTGGGGATCAAGCCCACAACCCAGGCATGTGCCCTTGACTGGAATCGAACTCAGGACCTTTCAGTCCGCAGGCTCACCCTCTATCCACTGAGCCAAACCAGCTAGGGCTTAAGACTAAATTTTAATTAAATTTTAAATAATGTTAGCCTCAAAGTTTCTGTTATCTTGTGAGTTAAGATGAATTCATTGGATTATTCATGTTATACTAGTAAGCTATATTTTTCTTTACAACTGGGTATTAGGTTTAAGATATTTGGAGGTTAAAAATCCTGTGTTTTTGCTATTAAAATTTAAATTATAGAATTAAAGCTTATTGTTGTTGAAGAAGTCATATTCTGCCTTTATGTTTTGTACCAAACTATTAAAATTTAGAACTTATTTGAACAGATAAAAATACATTTTTTCTTCAACAGTGGACATTCCTCTGGTTATGATAGTCGTTCTGCACGTGCTTTTCCTTATGGCAATGGTAAGTGTTTATAGTTACCACATTCAATTTGAATCAGTGAAGGACTTAAAATACTTTTATAGCAATAAAACCATTCTTCCATGGTTTAAAATACTACTTTATAGAACAATTAAAAATATTAACTAAAGGAGTAAGTAAGTCTTATATATATTTATGGTTTCTTTTTTTTTTATATATATATATTTTATTGATTTTTTACAGAGAGGAAGGAAGAGAGATAGAGAGTTAGAAACATCTATGAGAGAGAAACATTGATCAGCTGCCTCCTGCACACCTCCCACTGGGGATGTGCCTGCAACCAACGTACATGCCCTTGACCGGAATTGAACCTGGGACCCTTCAGTCCGCAGGCCGACACTCTATCCACTGAGCCAAACCGGTTACGGCATATTTATGGTTTCTTAACAGAATAATTTTTCTTTCTTTATTGACTATACTTTTTAAAATTAATTAATGGTGACACAACTGGGATATTTATACCATGTCGTTTCCTAAAAGGATTTAGGGTTTTTTACCAAATTGTCTGTCTTCATTGTCCAAAATTTTTCTGGTTTTTGACTCATAGTATCCCACTAGCCTTGTTCTGATATTTCCCCATCAGTGGTTCATCTTTTCTTCTAGATTATCTGGCTAGGTACTCAATCATGTTCACTCTTAACAACTTTATTCATTCCAAGAGCTGATTGCACTTTTAAAAGTGCTGTGCATTGTACTAGGTTTTAGAGATACAGTAAACTAGACAAGACATAAGTTTGCCCTTATCAAATTTATAGACTAGTGAGGAAATACCAGGTGATAGAAGAGGGTGTCATGGGAACATAGTGCAAGGGGTCTTCCACTCTAGAGGGGTGGAGCTATAGATGATGTAACTTGGATTCAAAGCATGTTCAAAGACGTGGTGGTGAGAATGTAGTAGGCTTTTTTTTTTTAAATGTTTTTATTGATTTCAGAGAGAGGAAGGGAGAGGGAGAGCGAGCTAGAAACATCAATGATGAGAGAGAACCATTGATCGGCTGCCTCCTGCATACCCCCTTCACCACCGACTGGGGATCAAGCCCGAAACCCGGGCATGCACCCTGACCAGCAGTCAAACAGTGACCTGGTTCATGGGTCGACACTCAACTGCTGAGCCACACCGGCCATGCTGGTGGGCTTCTTTTATGAACTGAAAGAAGTGTGGTGTGGCTAGAGTGTAAAGAATACATGGTGAATGCTTGAAGATGAGAAAAGAACATGCAGGGCCTTGTAGTCCTGCTGTATGGTTTTAGCCTGATTCAGAGAGCTGTGAGGAGCAGTTTAGTATTATGGTGAGCTGTGAAATGGCTAGATTTACATTGGAAAAGGTCCATTTTGGCCACCTATTATGAGGAAATTGTGGGTGGTAGAATTGCTGAGATGCTTGATTGGGAGAACAAGAAGCTGTTCGAGTACAGTCATGTGCTGCATAAGGACACTTCTGTCAGTGATGGACCAGACTATATATAAGAAAAGGTTAATATGCTAATTAGACCTTCTGGACAAAGCCATGGTGGTAGGGGCCGAGGCAGAGGTGGTTAGGGGCGATCAGGCCAGCAGAGGAGCAATCAGTTAGGGGTGAGATCAGGTCGGTATGAGGGAGCAAGCAGTTAGGGGATGATCAGGCCGGCAGGGGAGGGCAGTTGGGGGCGATCAGACAGGCAGGGGCAGGCAGTTGCAGGGGCGATCAGGCGGGCAGGAGAGCGGTTGGGGGGCGATCAGGCCGACAGGCAGAGGTAGTTAGGGGTGATCAGGCAGACAGGCAGAGGCAGTTAGGGGTGATCAGGCAGGCGAGTGGTTAGGAGCCAGCAGTCCCAGATTGTGAGAAGGTTGTCCAACTGCCGGTTGCGGGATCAGGCCTAAACCGTCAGTTGGACATCCCCCAAGGGTTCCCAGATTGGAAAGGGTGCAGGCCGGGCTGAGAGGCCACCCCCTCCCGTGCACAAATTTTGTGCACTGGGCCTCTCTATAATAATAAAAGCATAATATGCTAATTAGACCGGAGGTCCTTCCGGACATCCTTCCAGATGTCCTTCCTTCTGGACATAAGCCGCAGCAGGTGGGGCTCACGGCAGAGGTGGCAGGGACTGGAGCCAAGGCCCTTGCATGAATTTCGTGCATCGGCCTCTAATAAGATTATAATGGAGCTAAAATATTCCCATCACCTAGTCACATCATAGCTGTTGTAATGCATTACATGTTTCTGGTGATGCTATTGTAAGTGCACCTACTGTGTTGCCAGTTGTATAAAAGTATAGCACATACAGTTATGTACAGTACATGATATTTGATAATAAAGCATTATGTTACTAGTTAATGTATTTAATATACTATACTTTTTATTATTATTTTTACAGTGTGCTCTTTCTACTTATAAAAAATGTTTGCTATAATACAATATGCCATGTTATGCCAGCCTCATACACCTCATGTTTACTACATCTCTTGATTGCTTAATTTTCTCTTGTGCTTGATGTAATCTTGTATTGTTTTGTACAGTAACATGCTGTACAGTAAGCATGTCATACTCAAAGGCTAACCTGAGCCAGATAAACAAGGTTTAAGTTTATGTAGGCTGCAAGAAAACAAAAGCTTCCTTTTTCATAGAAACATAGGTTTATTTCAATAGAGACATTATGAATTCAAAGGGCTAAAATATAAATGAGTAATTGTTAAAATAATAGAACATTTTAATAAGAATTAATATTTCTTCTTGAACATTAACTTACCAGACACTGAATAATTGCACAAATTAATAAGTGTAACACAAATAAACCTATTTTTCTTGTTCTCCAAAAGCAAAATATTTCCTGTTGTGCAGACCAAACAAGTCAGTAGAAGACTAATGATGTGGCAATTAGCTGCTAAAATATTTGCTGTTGGTATTAGTGGAGAGAAATGATGTGGCTAGCTGCTAAAATATTTGCTGTTGGTATTAGTGGAGAGAAATGGTGCGCCTGCATGTAAGGGAAATGAATGCAACACAATAATTATAATCAGTCATTAGCAAACATTGTAGTTCGTTATTAATAACTAGAGGCCTGGTGCA